CGTATATTGTTTCAGTCCAGTCCAGTCCCGCCCGGTACCACGGTCGGTACCAGGCCAGTCCAGTCCAGTCCAGTCAGTCCGCTGGGGGTATACCCCAGCTGCAGTCTGTTTTTCGGACTCTTCACTTTCGCAGATCTTGGAGTACTTGCGTGTGGAGTCTGCGTCGGAGCTGCGCTGTCCCCTCCAGCTCCATCTCTACCTCCTCCTTCGTCTCCATCCTAACGGACCGCCATCCCGGCGGGTCCGGCACAGCGGCTATGGCCTCTCGCCCTCTTCTACCTTCGGGGTTCCTGCTGACCACCAGCGAACTCAACAAGTATCTCAAGCAGTGCTTCCACATAGTTCCCCCGAGAATGAGTGAATAACTGATCGCTGCCTCTTGAACGTGCAGTCCCACTCTGGTACTTGCTGCAGAAAACGGACTGGACTGGGACTGCCCTTTCGTTTTCCACTTCACTGTTTGCCTTGGGACTCTTGACCTTTCAGAGGACTTCAAGACGACCCTTAGGACTCCTGAACATCTAACCTGTCAAGTCCACACGACCCAAGCTGCATACACAAAACATTTGTACACTGTTTTAGGGACAGGTCGTGGGTTCAAAACACACAGGGTCAACGGACAACTGTACAATGGGCTAGGGGAGGTCTGGGGATCGAGTCCCTTTCATCCGCGGTGTTGAGTTTCGAATTCACAGGGATGACAGGGCACTGCAAGTCCAGGCCAAGCGCAGTTAGAAACTACAAAAAAAAAAGAACAGGTTTTTTTTTTAAGAAAACACAAAGGCCCCGTCTATTCTGGGGGGCAGCAGTGCACCTCTACCCGGTCGGAAGTTCGAGACTGGCAAAATCAGGCAGCCAGATTTTTTTTTTTCACGCCCGTGTCAGGCGGCCTCTCGTTGCTTCTCTTTTCTTTTCTTTTTCTTTTTTGCTTTCTTTTTTTTCCACGCCCGTGGCTGGGTCACCGCAGAGATGCCTAGGCAACAATTGTCGCCGGGCCACAGCTGCCCGTGCCTGGGCCACGGCCGAGATGTCTACGCCACGCCCGTGGCTGGGCAATGGCCGGGATGACTAGGCCACGACAAAAAGAGGTCTCCGCAAGTCGTTTCCAACCCCGCCCCTCCGCGAGTCGTTTCCAACCCCACATCTCCGCGAGCTGAGATGACTAGGCCACGACAAAAAGAGGAAGGACGTGTAGCGGTACTGGTACCTCCCATTTGTGCCAATTGTTGAATTGGCATGCCGTTGGAAGCATGCGTTTTTGTTTATTTTGCAGTTCGTAACTGCTTCTTCGCCCGGACCTGAAGTGTGCAGTTATTTACGCGAATTCGGAACTCCGCACCGGTTTTGTTATACAAAAAAAGGGCAACGGCCTTAAGATATCATTTTTGAACTGACCGGCCCCAGGTAATTCAGAATGATTTTATTCTGGTCATCTGGTGGTATCTGGATTTGAACTCCAGTCTGCATTTCAGCAGTTCATGGGTGTGTCAACTGAGCTATAGGCCCATTGGTAGAGCACTGCGTTTGGGGTAACGGGAAAATGGCAGTTGACAACCACCACCATTACCACCACCACCACCACTACCACCACCACTACCACCACCACCACCACCACCACCATCCACCAACCAGTGTAACGGACATAAGTTCACATTCACTCTGCAGATGGTGGAACTTGAGAACGACCATTGGACATCCATCAGCCAATTGTTTCTCTCTTCATTCAAGTGGTTTTAATTTTTAGGGACATGCTAGCCCCTTAGATAATGGTATCCATCCGAGTTCTTCAGGGGTTAAGAGCACGACTCGGACTGTTCACTAACAGGTAAGAGTATTCGGGCACATTGGCTGAGTCATCCGTCTTTTTCAGGAAGACAACAAACGGACAAGGAGGAAAACATGATCCTATCCACTTGTAAGGAGTGCCGACCAACAGGCAGGACATCAGCCCACTAGCAGCAGCATTGTAAGCCCGAATGTGATCCACCATCCTATTTTCAGCCGTGCAGTCTCGATGGCTGACAACCAATTGGCCCAGTGACACATGGTAATCCAAAATCATGCTGCTAGTTTGTGGCACTTTGTGCCACCGTTGTGAGCCAGTTTTTTTCTGTAAGCACTCATCACCTACTCTTACAATCACCACCGACACCTATCATGGACAAAACATTACCCCTTTAAGAACTTAACTTTTAGAGTCTTTAACGTTCCTGGCCGCAATTTCGGCACGTTTTGAACCGGAATTTACAGGTCCTACTGGCAGGAATGGGGTAAGCCCTGACGTTCTCAGTTCAAACAAATGCCGATACTGCAACCAGGATCATTGAAGCTAAGCCGCCAGTACCTTTCCCATATATCGGCTGCGGGGCCAAATTCACCCTGCTCACCACGAAAATTTGAAACGACGCAGACGTATCTGGCCGTCCCTGCTAGCGAATTCGCGGTGGAAACGAATTCCCGTGTTAAACGCCACGGCATTTTTTTCAAGCGGGGAAAGGTACTGGTGGTTTAAATATATCAGTGATTCACTACGTTATACGTGTGACTAGCAGCAGGGTAGTTAAGCTCAAACCTGAGCTCATTCACTGTCGCTCACGCAGACATATCACCACGGGTTAGTTGCCTATTTTGCTGCTACCTTCTTACCAGGAAAACAACACCCAGGCATTATAGCTGTTCTAAATTCAACTTTCAGGCCAGAAAAAGACAGGACATTGCAGGTGTTGCGTTTGGTAGGAGAAGGTAGTTGGCCGGCTCTCTCACTTCACCACTATCACCATTGCCTATAGCGGACAAAAAATAACATATACCATGATTAACTATGAAGATAAAATTCACTCATGTGGCTTGAATGGTATTTAATATTTATACATGTAATCGTGAGTTACAAAGGCCCAACCAATGAATTACCTGTTGAATCTGGGCAGGAGAGCCTTTCAGGGATTTTTGAATCATTTTTCATTATTATCATTATAATGTTATGGGAAACCCGGTAGAAGCCATCCCTGTTCATGCCTCCAACGAGGAAACGTGTAGGGCTGCACCCACCTCTAGGGCCCTTGTCCCACACCACTTCAAACTTTGAGTATTTTCAAGGAAGCATTGTTCCACCTTTTGCTAATTACGACGATCTAGAAGTCCGCATGTTTCAACATTTGCATCTCAAGGGTCCGCCCTTGAAACCCAAATGCGGCCCAGCCAGAACGACAAAAATCGCAAGGGCGCCTCCAGAGGTCACTGGAGGCTCAAGGGCTGGAGGGTACGTGGCAAGGAAAAAACGGAATTTTACTTTTTCCTTTTTAATCCTTCCGTTTGCGGATTGGCCCTGCCCGTTTGAGGAATGGCCCTGGGTCTCAAGGGCGATGCTTTCAAGTGCAGGTGCAGCAGGTGGGCGATACTGGCCAGCGGTCAGCTGGTATTGTCGAAGTTCTTATAGGACAACAAACCATTTGGTATCTATAGGACAACCGTTTCGAACAAGGACAACAAAAGGACAAGACAAAGACCTTACCCAATCCACTTTTGGGGGAGTGCCACACCCAGGAGGGGCATCCACTGGGCAGCGGGATAGTTTAGCTGTAAGGTGAGCCAATCAATAATCAGCTGTACATATCAACCACCTTCACAGCTGATGACCAATTGCCTCAGATGATCGTTTGAGCTTGCGAAGCTGCTTCCAAAAGGACAAACTTTTACCACCAACCTGTACAGGACAAACACAAAATTCACAATGTACATGAGGAACCTGAGGGCCTCGCTGCACCACTCTCGAGTGCACAAAAGACAGAAATCATGGCACTGTATCTTTCTATGTCATAGCGGAAGATTCGCTCTCGTTTTGCACATTTCGAGACTAAACGAGAGAGGCGCTTATTGTCACTTTGCAGACACACAAACGGTCAGTTGGGACACACAAATGTGCGCTCACTGACCAACTGCCACTGGGTTGCTGCCCCGAGCTCGACACGAACCTCCCAAAGCACAAACCTTCACCACCAACCCGTAAAGGACAGAAAACAAATTTCACTGTGCGGATGACGAACCCCATTGTCACTGGGTGCGCATACATATGTGAGTATAGTAGTTTGCTAACTTGCTGCCAGTGGGTGGATGCCACCAGTTGACCACTAACCCCACAAAGGACAAACTTTTACCACCAGACACTAGGAACACACACAAAAAAAAAATCACTATGAAGATGACATCCTGGTCGTCATCTCGTGCAGACTCACATGAAAACAAACAAACATCCTGAACTAGGTCGTCAAATGCGCACATGTTCATGCAAGTGACTAGCACTGACTACCCTAGCAATGAGAAGGCCTCGGCATGTTTTCCACAAAATGTTCGGGCTATTTTGCCTTTCTGTTGCCTGCTTTGATGAAAAATCCAGGCCATTTTGACATTTTGTTTGTTTAACGATAAAATCAGTTCCCCCTTTTTCCAAACCACCACCCAATTGTTGCAACCGGCCTGTTTACAACAGGCCCTCCAATTTTTCCTGGGTGCATTGACTGATCTGGCAGCCATAGGCTTTTCTTCTGCCCACAGAAATCAGGCCACATCTAGATGCCCGATGGTGGTTTCTTTTCTTTCTTTTTTTTTACAATAAAGGCCAGCCTCCGCGCACTAGAGGAAGTCATAAGAGCATCTTCCTCTAGTGGAGCTTTCGCTGGCAGCTCCAAAATCTATTTGTGGGGAGAAGCACTGCTGGAAACCAGGTCCAGCGTCCCATATACAAACGTGCAAGAAAACAAACCAGGGTCATTATCAGGCGTCGGCTCAGAAAATGGAAAATGGGATTGATTGCGATGCGCGTGACGGAAGGAGAGGGGGTCTCTGGCGGGCACCAGGGCGCCCTCCTCTCTTTCCCTTTCTCCATCAACAGTGAATCCTGGAAATGGGGAAATGATCTGAGAACTACACTGAGTCATGTCTCCATCATGGCAGCTCCGTCAGTGACAGGGGGTGCGGGGCCAACCAATGTCCAGTCCGCTTCCTTCCAAGGACATTTATTTCTATCCCTTTTCGGTTGTAGTCGATCTATTGGCCAAGCTACTCTCTGTTTGTTTGTCAGTCTTTTCTGTGTTCCCCCCCCTCCATGCAACAGTTGAGAGGCGTTCCCAGTCCCAGCCAAGTTTGTCTATCCTCACCTGCTTAGATGTTGAATTTCATTAATTTTCAAAGTTAGTTAATGGCTGTGATGGCGGGAGATGATGCGCTCTGTGGTGAAGGGGCTAGCCTGTACGGTTGAAATAGGGTACAGCGGCGGTGGAGATGGTGGCTTCATCACGGTAAGACTTGCCAGAGTAGGGCTGAGAGGGATTTTTTGGGGGATATCTGCAACCAGTGCATGAAGGAGATGAATGATGGTGGCTTGACTGGTATCTGCCTTTGTCCTGAGTCCCGGTGGTTTGCGGATAGACGAGGCCAGAACGACGCCGATCGGTGCTGGGGATTGGTTGCACTGACCTGTAACTCAAGCTGTACGAGGGCATGAGACCTGGTAGAGAGATCTGGTGAGTTGTTGAGGGTGGAAGGTACTCTAGTGTCTTTTGGTGAGCTGGTGCCTAATCGACGCTGGCCGGAGCCGGGGCAGGTCGCTTTGCCCTGTGGCCTAGTAGGTGGGGGGTTTCTGGGGTGGGTCGTGCCACTCTGCAACCTAGCAGTTGGGGGCACGAGGCCTGGTAGAGATTGGGCATCGGGATATAGGGGTGAGGCAGGTAGGGTTGGGCTGCTGAAAAGGCCTAAGGCAGGTGGTTTTTTCGTTCTGAATGCCCTTTTGATCCGAGCTATGGGGGATAGAGAATTTTAGTGTTTTTTTGTAGGTTACACAGTTGTCTTTCTTAGCAGAAGCCGGGTAATGTCCCCCGTATCTCAAGGATTTCTCCATAAATTTCTCAATTTCTCCATACAATCTGGAATGGGACACCGGGCCTGGTTCCCAGCACGTGCTGCTCCCCACGAACAGATTGGAGCATGTTCCCATTAAAAAAAAAAAAAAAAAGTTCAAAGTTCAAACTTCAAAGCCAATAAATAACCTCAGGAGTATGCAGGTCATACATAGTATTAGGCTTGTGCTCCACAGACTAAGAGTACGGAAAGACATTTCTTAAACCACCAGTACCTTCCTCAGCTATCAATGCTGAGCCTAAAATCACCCTGCGCGCCAAAGAAAAATCAATCGGCGCGGACCCCATTTTGGCTGGCGCCACCAACCATTTCAGTCCGATACCAAAACCGTTGAAAGTCGCCCTTGTTAACTGGTGCATATTTGTTTTCCAATACTCGTGGTTTAATTTCATTAGCGCATAAAGTCCATAATAATTTGGTGGGCTCCACCTGCCACCTCTTTCACTTCTCTTTGAGACCAGTGTTCCGTTCCCTTGGTGGATCAACTGAATCACATGCCAAGTTTTGCCAACTCACGCATTGGTAGGAAAGAGCAGTGGAGGTTCTTTAGGAGCCTGTTGCGCTCTGCTTGACACACCCGTTTCCTCCAGAGTGTGAGACACTGCCTTCAGAAACCAAAAATGTTGCTTTTGGCAGCTCTCTGAAATGGAGCCCCAATTTCATTAGAGGAATTCCCCGTTTTAAACCACCATTACTCCGCTCAGCTATTGCTGCCAAGCCTAAATTCGCCCTGTGCGCCAAAAACAAAGCAAGTGACGCGGGTCTGCTTCCGGCTGGTGCCACCAGCCATTTCGATTCAGTACCCGAGCCCCCGAAAAATGTGGCCATTAACGAGGCGTGACTTCGTTTTTCAAGAGGGGAAAGGTACTGGTTGTTCAAACCTGTGGAGAACAACCCTTGTTCACTAAATACAAGATCAGCAAGAAAAGCAGTGGACAATTTCATCGAACCTTCTTGGCCACTTGTCGGGCGGTTGGAAGTTCGAGAGGCTGTCCGGGGCACATTGCTTGCTGTTGTTTTTATTTTTTATTTTTGCCCAACACGCTTTCTCACCGAGGGTCAATGATACCTTTCAAGGCTCAAGCCTTGAAAGCAGTTGGCAGCTTCACTCACACCCAAACTGTAGGGGAGTTATGATAGACCCTGGCCAATTTTGAAGTACAAAATTCATGAGAAACTACAATGCCGTCCAATTGCAAAAGAAATCAAGGAACTTGAGAGGAGAGAGAGCGAAAGAAGAAGAAGAAGATGTACACCAGCAAAGACCAATGATAATTCCCTTCTTCTTCGCCAAACACTCTCCTCCTCCTTTTCTCCTCCCCTCTGTCTTCACCACAAATAATAATAATAATGTTGAATGGCTGAACCAGAATCAAAGTCTGAATCCCTCTTCTACTGCAAGTACAACATGAGGTCCACCATAGCCATGGCCACCCTTCTCCTTCCTCTTCCAGAAGGCCAAAGCTTCTAGGTGTCGCTCTACCCCAACTGGGGCCTTCCAGATGCAGCGTTCACCAAGGTGATAAAGATGGCATCCACCATAGCCAGGTAAGTAGCTCTGGCGCTCTTCCTCTTCCTAGTCCTCGTCTCCTTCCTCCTCCTCCCCGTGCTCCTCCACCATAGCCGCGGTGAAGGGGTAGGCGCTCCTTGCTCCCCAGCAGCGCTGCTCCAGCCAGCGCTCCAAGCAGTGTATCGCCAAACTTGCACACCAAAGAATGAGAAGAAGAAGAAGAAGAAGAAGGAGAAGAAGGAGAAGGAGAAGAAGAAGAAGGAGAAGTCTGGCGCTCTTCCTCTTCCTAGTCCTTGTCGAAGAAGAAGAAGAAGAAGAAGAAGAAGAAGAAGAAGAAGAAGAAGAAGAAGAAGAAGAAGAATGAGAAGGAGAAGTCTAGCAGGGAGAAGGAAGAAGGAGAAGAAGAAGAAGAAGAAGAAGAAGAAGAAGGAGAAGGAGAAGTCTAGCAGGGTGAAGGAAGAAGGAGAAGAAGAAGGAAAAGAAGAAGGAGAAGAGGAGGAAGAGGAGGAGGAAGAGGAGGAAGAAGAGGAAGAGGAAGAAGAAGAGGAAGAGGAAGAAGAAGAGGAAGAAGAGGAATAAGTGGACGAGGAAGACGAAGACTCTCTCTCTCTCTCTCTCTCTCTCTCTCTCTCTCTCTCTCTCTCTCTCTCTCTCTCTCTCTCTCTCTCTCTCTCTCTCCCCCCTACTACTACTAACCCACTTACCTTGGCGCGACAGTGCTATAGCGGGCGTCGGCGGGCTCGGAGGCGTTCGCGGGCGTTGGCGGAGCTCCCGTCGAGTCGAGGCGTCGGGCGAAGTGTGGTGTCGGGCGGGAGAGGTGACGGGGGAGGGGACGAGGACCGCGGTGGTTCCCGCTTGATTTCAAGAATTCAAAATCGCGGCCTATCTGGGTTGTCAATCCTGGAGATCGACGGCGCAGATGGGCCACGAATTCGAATTCTTGAAATCTGGCCTACCGGCCCTTTTTTTCACACTGTGATGGCCTGGACGGCCTCCTTTGGGGGGAAGAAGGCCCCCCGCGTCGAAAAAGGCCGAACCCCCCCCCCCCCCCCCTTCTGAGATGCGCTGGCCTCGCCCGGTGGCCAACCGGGCGGAACAACCGGCCAGGCGGCCCGGCYCCCCCCCCCCCCGAGCGACCACCAGGTCGCCGAGCGGCCCAGGGACCAGCACAGTTATTTATTTATTTATTTATTAAATGATTAATTTATTTTTTTGGCTCGGCAGGGCAAGTGGTCCTGGGGCACTCTGGTAGCCTCGCTTTTGAGATAATAAATCCACAAAGATCTTCGTTCCAACCTGGGACTTGCACAGGTTTCCTAGAAATCCTTGGCGCACACATTTGGACTTCAACGCATTGCGACTAAACTCGAATCAGAAAGCAGCGTTGAGAAACTTGAGAGTGATGTTCTGTGTCACAATGCCTCTAGCGTGACTATCCACCTCCCCAGAGCCACTCTTTGCGGCATGCACTCATTCTCTTCTCTATGGGTCTCATGTCCACAGATCCCCAGCATCCCCATCCTGGGCTCCATATAAATAGTGTCCCCCACCAAACTGCCCCCTGGTATAGCCATCAAGTCATGAAACCTCAATTAGATGACAGTGCCCTGCTTGTTCTTTTTT